CCCCCCCCCCGACCTGAGATCATGCTGCCAGAGCCTGACCGGGATGGCGACTCTCCCTTACTCGCTCCAGGGGTTCTTTGCAAATGTTCGTCACGCAAACACTAAATTAGATGTCTAAGATAGCCAAAACAGATCCTGACTCCTAAACTCACAATAATATCTAGATCTCGAAAAGGGTTTGGACATACCAGCAAAAGCCTAAAGCAACCATGCATAAGCCATAGTTTGGCGCTTTCAACCACCCAGACAAAGCCAAAGCTACCAAAATTGAACTCCACTAGACCCTAAACCCTGCTGAACCCTAAACCTTAAACCCTAAACCCTAAACTCTAAACCCTAAACCCTGCTGAACCCTAAACCCTAAACTAACCCTAAGGATCCAAGTATACAATAATCATATACTCTTCCGAATACTCACCTACAAAACTACTGTCCGTAACCCAAGTACATGATTATTAGGTCCTTTGGACCCTTGGGTAACAGAGAAACAGAAGCCTGGAAAGCAGAGGTTAGAGGAGACACAGGCAGCGTGTGCCCAGCTCACCACAGAGCACCAGGAGCCACGGCCTTCGGAATCGTTTCGTCCCTCTAAACTCTAAACCCTAAACCACCCTAAATCCTACAGCTTTGTGGCCTTAAACTTAAGCCCTACCCCTCCCCCCCCCCCTCCCCCCCCCAAAAAAAAACGATCGAAAGCCTGCGTCCTGAAATGGAGGGGTTGTTTTTGCTTACGTAGGGCTGGCCTTTGAGATTGCAAAAGGGCGGATTGATGGTTTTTGTTGGTCGGGTTTGATTTGTGGGGGTTGTACGGTGCTGTTAATCCTAATCCTAGACACCCTAAACCCCCAAACCCCAAGTTCAAACCGTGCTGTAAAAAAAACCTTGGTGGGCTCGTGTGGCTTTAGAAGTTTGCTAGAAAGCCCGAACAACCTCCTGCCTGAGCTGTGTCGCTACTAGCAGTCCGTCTCCCAAGTACCTATAGTCTCCAGTGTACTTCCTTGTTTGGGTTACATTATGGGTTCCTGCAAACAACACCGGTTAAACCAAACAACGAACCGAAATGGAGACTATTTGACTACCGGTACACCCAGACCCAAACTGGCACTCAAAAAGATTGGTATTCAACATCCCAAGCTACTCCTGAACCCTCAACCCTTGCAACCTCAAGTCCTAAACGGCCCTAAACTTCACGTGGCTGCGGCTCGAGCCATTTGCTAATTCGTACCTGAACGACCTGCAAGAGGTCTCTGCCTTCGACTGCTCTTGGCTTCATTTTAAGACAGAGCGACCGGGAACCTTGACTGGGACTCTTCTTTGAAGATATCCTTTGGGTTCATGTGCCCCATGTTTTACGACTTTAGGCTATAAACTTTATGTCTGTAGGGTTCAGGCATTGCGGGAGGGTACCCGGTTCGCTTGCGCTTTGCGGTTCCCTCGCGCTTCTTTCTCTGCGCCATGGAAGAGGCAGGCAGGTTGCTTTCCACCATCGAGCTTGATGAGTTCACCATCAAGGACACCCTAGGGTCATGAAACCCTAAACCCTAAACCCTAAACCCTAGCTAGTCATTCGATGACCTGTCCACCAAGACCCCAAGCGGAAACATCGCATCAACCTCGAGCCCAGAACCGCAACCCTAATGTAGGGGCCCTGATCATTAGCATAGGGTTTTGGGTGTGTCTTATTATAGTTGTGGTTTAATATCCCCAAAACCCTATTCTAAGTATTAAGGCCCCTACATTACGCCGCAAGCGCTCCTCACAGGAGGTTCAGAATGGCTGGGAGACGGTCGAAAAACGGCTGGGAGGTGCTAAAGCTGCCGGCGAGGAAGTGTTTGGTAAGCTGAAGAACCTCTTCTCCACCTGACTTAGGGCTTGGGGCCAGAGTCCAAATTTCATTTTGTGGGATTTTGCGTATCTTCGGATTAGTCTTTTCGTTCAAAGAGGAGCCTGGCTTGTCAGCCCTGCCGCCGAAGCTTTCAGAGAAGTTGCGACCTTGCGGAGTCGGGGAATAGCAGAACCCCCTTTCCTGAAAGGCGTTAAGATTCAGATGAGAAATCCATATTATGAGGGGGTTCGTGAATCAGGGGTCTACGCTTCTCTTCAAGAAACACAAGCGACATGACATTTCTTAGTTGTCCACCAGCTCCGCTCTCTCAATCCTGTAAGCCCTACCTGGAGCCCAAAAAACTTGCCTTCTCACTGAGCTATATCACCAAGAAGCCATGATAGGGAACCCTAAACCCAAAACCCTGAATGGTAGTTTTTTCGGGCTACAGGTACACCCTTGAAGTTGAGCCGTTCCCTAAACCCCTAAGAACTCCTAGGATGTTTTGGGAGTTCCTTATCATGATTTCCGGATGGAAGAGCCGAGCAGGTTTCTCGGGGTTCAGGTCTTCCCAAGCCTATAGGGGTTTAGGGGTTTAGGGGTTTAAGGGGTTAGGGTTTAGGGGTTTAGGGTTTAGGTGTTTAGGGGTTTGGGGGTTTAGGGGCTTAGGGGTTTCGAGGTTTAGGGTTGTCAGTATGAGCCCCCTCCACCCATGAACCCTAAGCCCGGAGACCCGGAGAGCTAAAAAGCCTCTGAAGTCTCATGCACACCCTAAACGAGGAATGAAGTGCCGAAGACACAGGGCATGCTTACCAGATCGAGCACTGTTTGGCACCTCACTTCCGAGTTGATGCAATCTCTGGATGAACCCCAGCTGATACAGGGACCCTGATACATTTTTTGTTTTCCTGGGTTCAGGGTTTAGGGTTTATTTGGGGTGGGGTTATCGTATAGTATGGGTATATAGGGTCTTTCGGGTGTTTATACATCCGCATGCATCCAAAGGGCATAAAGAAGTCCAGGGGAATTCTGATGATTCCTTCCTTGGAGGCTCATGGGTAGTTATAAATGGGATTATAAGTTATAAGTTCCCCAAGATGGGTTATAAACTATAGTTACCATACATATAACGCCACTTATATAACTGCCCCTAAACCCTAAACCCTAAAACCCCTAAACCCTAAACCCCTAAACCCCTAAACCCTAACCCCTAACCCCTAAACATACTTATATTATACCCCCACTCATAACTTCCCCATGTACCTCCAGGTACGGTCCAAAAGGCCTTTTCGAGCCCTGGGTTTAGGGCTTCGGGATGGTGAAGGAATTAGGGCCTTAGGGGATTCGAGCATACTACACCCCGAAAGCCTAGTTAGGGCCAGTTTTGGGCTGGGGTGTAGGGTTTGGGGGTTTAGGGTTTTAGGGTTTAGGGTTCAGGTCCGGCTTGCTGTGTTTTGGTGTCGGAGGGCTTAGATACGGCTCGATTCTACAGGGACGGAATAAGAAATCCCCTTAGAAAGTCCCCATACATAAGTTGCAACTCTTTTCCTCTAATTGTTGAGCCCTACACCCTAAACCCCTAAACCCTAAACCTAAATAGGCCCATAGAAACACCCTTAGGGCTGAGAATGCTGTTGGCTCGTAAAGCGAAGGAGCCGAAGCTGGTGCAGAAACGTCTGGAGTACATCGCCTTGCGCCACATGAATGCGGATATCACCACCGCCGATGTCGAGGTGTCCCTAAGCCCTTAAACCCCCTAGGGAGGTATATCTGCAGCCTTCGAAGAAGGTGCTTTAAGGGATCCTGCTCCGAAGCCGTGGCTTCGGAGCTAAACCCCTGCGAGCCGTCGAGGCCCAAAAGGCCCTTGCTTTTAGAAAGAGCCATCAGCGACTTGCCTGCAGGTGTTCCGCAACATCCTGTTTGAAGCTTCTCGGCTGCTCTTGACCAGTTCCCCCTGCACTCTGTTTTTTGTTTGTTTGTGTGTGTGTGTTATTTTGTGACGCAGTCCATGGTAACCCTGGGCTCCAAGGCCCTAGGCCCAGTTAAACGAGCGACCCCATACCGCAGAAGTCCGGACCAATCCTTGGATATCGAGCCCCAGAGCCACAATACAGGGGCCTAAATAATTGCCTAGGGTTTGGTGCAACCGAGAACTTGGGCTTGCAAAGTACCCTCCTTTACTTTGCCTTGGGAGTCCTGTCAAGCCTTGACGAAAAGCCCAGAAAGCCGAAAGGCCCACGCCCCTCAACTCCCTGCACCCTAAACCCCAAACCCAAAATTACCTAAGCCCTAAACCCTTAAGCCCTAAACCCTAAACCCCTAAACCCTAAAAGCTGCGATCCCCCGGGCCCCCAAAAGCTCCGATGTCCCAGAAGTCCGGAGCCTAGGTTTGTGCATCGAAGCTTGGCGGTCTCATGACTCCTGAGTTCCAGTTGCCAGGTGGCAACTTCTCTTACACCCTTAATGTAGGGGCCTTAAGAAATAGAATAGGGTTTTGGGGGCTCCTTATTATAAAGGCCCCTACATAGCAACCCCAAACCCTAAACCCTAAAGCCTGAAGCCTAAACCCCTGGTCGTGACGGCCTGGGCCTTGCGGTAGTCGTGGAGCGAGGGCTGGAGTAAACAGGGCCCCCCCCCCGCCAAAGAAGAAACACAAAACCTTACTTTACGGTGAAGGGGTTCAGGGTTCTGAGTTCCAGTTGTCAGGTGGCAAATTGCGGGGACTTTGCTGTGTTTAAGGATGTTTGTAAGGAGTTTAGGCTTTCAGGGTTTTGGGGTTTACGGGTTAAGTCCTAGGGTTCAGGGGTGTAGTAAGGGTTTAAGTTTAAAGAATTTCCGGGTGGGTATAGAGTTCTTGTCAGGCCGTTAATAGATCAGAAAAGGGTATTGGGAGGGGGGGGGGGGCTTTTTTACTTTAACTATGAAAAGTAACCCCAAGGAATAGGGTTAGGCTTCTATATGCTTTACGGCGTACTGCACGGCTAAATTGTCCATAAACCCTTGACGGCTTGTTAAACGAATTTAAAATTTCGCCTAGGGGTCCCCATAACACGGGTCAAGAACAGGGGGGCCTTGAACCTATCGTTGTCCGCAACTTTCCTAAAGTCCCACTCTTGAAAAAACAATCTCTACCAGAGCATCGGGGAAACCAAGCCATGTTTCTCCGGTGTTGAACCCCCACCCGAAGACGTGCACGGCAGTTTCACTGGTCATGGACGGGGTGCGCTGATGAGCTTGATGATAGTGCGCAGACTGCGAGCCATGAACATCAAACTGGCGAGTCCGAGCATGATGGGGCAATGTAGGGGTCGGAATGACAGGACTGGGTGTACTAGTATTCCTCAGGAACTTCTACTAAACGCTGATATCCACCAACACCCTATTTTCCAGATATTGATGCCCCTAATTCAATTCCTAAACCTTGGATGCTGCCCCCACCCAGTACAAGTAGCAGTTAAACACGATTTATATCGTAAATTTAGAAGGCCCTTAATCGTAGCCCTGTTATCGGCTACGTATGACTGGGTGGGGGGCAGTGGCCCACCGAAATCTTCCAGGTTTGGACTTGGTCAGATCGTGGTCGCCGTGGGCACCTCTTTGGCTCCTTCGGCGGGGAGTTTTGGAGCAACGTAGGTCAAAAGAAGTTGTTGATGTAGCAATTCAGGATCAGGCTTCGGCTTTTGGGTGTGGTGTTTCTCAGATGCCGCCATTTACATCAGTTGTTGTTTTTGTTTCTGCATGGGTCTGGCTCTCTTTGTGAGGCTGTGCTCGTTTGCTGTTGCTCCTCGTTGGTAGTATTTTGACATGCATGCGTGACATAAAGCCGTCCTTTTCGTGCCAAGAGGCTGCCGATTTGTTGGCTACCTAAAACTGCCATAGCCTACCGTATGCAGGCTCTTATTCTAAATCCTTATTTTGGCGTTATTGCAAACCCCAGTATAGGATTTCTAGGGACCCTGGTAAAAAAAGGGGTTTAGGGTTTGTAGGGTTTATAGGGTTAGGGAATGGTGAAGTGCTGGACAACCGCGCGGCTGACAGACCTCTGAGTCCGCGAGAGAGAGAGAGAGAGAGAGAGAGAGAGAGATATTGAAAACGCCAGTATAGGAGTTGTACGGACCCTGGTAAAAACCAGGGGTTAGGGTTTAGGGTTTGTAGGGTTTAGGGTTCGGGAAGGGTAGGTTTCGGTAGTTCAGGAAACCCTAAACCCTAAATCCTAAACCCTAAATCCTAAACCCTAAACCCTAAGCCGCACGAAAAGTTGTGCAGAAAGCAAGGCCAAGACACACGAGCACTATGCGGCGAGGCTGAAGCTGCTGACCACGTGTTGGAAGGAGGCGAACCGGCCTTCGGGTTTTTAGAGTTTTAGGGAAAGGGAGGTTTAGTCATTTAGAGGTTTAGGGTTTGGGGCTTCGTCTGTCTATCATGTCGGGCTTTCTTTTGATGTCCTGACTTCAAGATTTCTGAACCAAGAGGCCCTAAGCCCTGGACCCCCAAACCCTATAAGCCCTTTTGTTGCATGCGTAGGGTCCTGACTTCAAGATTTCTGAACGACTGGGCCTAGGTGAATGCCAATGGCGACGACGAGCAGGAAGGACAGGGTCATGGAAATGCGGTTCAGGAAAATCCCGAGGAGGAGGGCGAGAAGGAGAATCAGACGGAGCAGGCAGCTTCTTGGGTTTCTTTACACGTTCTTGCAAGGTTTTGCGAACTTTTATTCGGTTTTTTCATTTGACCGCCCTTTCTGGCAGGCAAAGCCCGATTCGCCCCGCAACGCGGACGCTGGTGGAAGCAAGGAGATTGAGAAGGGTGAGAAAGAGGCTGAGCAGGAAGGACATGGCGCGTGGAAGGACATAGGGATTACAAGGGGTCAGGGGGACGCACCCTCTTTCTTAACTTAGTAGTAGAGTAGGTAACCTTGCGGCTTCTTGGGAAGTAGAACCCCCTAGGTACTCCCCAAAGGGTTTAACGGTTTAACCTTCAGTTCTTCTGGGATCCTGGGCAAGTAAGCTAAAATCCCTGTCTGATCCGACTCGCGAGGTTTCATGTAGACCCGCCCACCCCACTCACACACACACACAAATACGATCAAAGGAGCTGCCGGGCTTGTGGGAAAACATGAAACCTTAAAGACCCTAACCTTAAACCTCCAGATAGTTTGCTCCCGAAGTGGTGAAACACTGGACCTAAGCATAGACGTTACAGCCCAGGTAAAGACTTGATAGAAACCTGTAGAACCGTACAACTCCAACATGAGCCTACTTCCTACGCCACTACGGCCCTAAACCCCTAAACCAAACCCCCACGAGCCTGCATGCACATTCCGAAAACCCGGCGGCAGTCCTTGTAGTCCCTTGTAGGAACCCCGACGACCTTTCAAGACCCTTAAAGTAGAACAACTCCGACATGAGCCCCTTATAGAAAGCTCAAAGAAACCCTATGATGTCCACCCGAAGCCTTAAAAAAGCCAAACAGCGAAGCCTAGAAACCCTGATTTTTTTCGTCGGACAACTCCAACATGAACCTCATTCCTGAACCTCTACATGCCCTCAGACCCTAAACCCCAGCCCGAGACTTACCCTAAGACTCCAAATATCCCAAAGTAGGTACTTTTGGTAGACTTTAGACCCCAAAGTAGGTACCTATTTGTATACTTGGAGTCCTAGGGTTAGACCCCTTAGAAAACGCAGGACAACTCCAACATGAACATTCCGAAGACCTTCGCTGCCATGGCGCGGTTCAATGCCGCCGTCATGGGCTCCTGGTCTTCCGTTAGATGCTTCAGGGGTTTAGGGTTTAGGGGTTTAGGGTTTAGGGGTTTAGGGGTTCAGCGTTTAGGGTTTTTGGGTTTTGGGTTTAGGGGTTTAGGGTTTAGGGCTTCAGGGTTTAGGGTTCGGGGCTTTGGGTTTAGGGTTTGGGGTTTATAGGGCTTAGGGTTTACATCGGTCGTTCTCTAGATTAGGGTCCCTTTTTTAAGGGTCCTTTTTATAAGGGTGCCGTACTATTTTGAGGACCTAGAGAGGGACCCTAATCTAGAGAGCTACCCAGATTTCTACAAGGGATCAGGGGTTTAGGGTGGAGAGACCTTCGTAGACAACTTAATAGTAGAGTCGGTAACCTTTAGACTTTTTTGGGGTACTACTGTATACTCCCTGTATGATCCCAAGTGTTAGCCGTTACTTCCGCTGGTTCCCTCAGGTACCAGACAAGTAGGACCAGGCAATCCCTAAACCCTAAAACCTAAAACCCTCGAGTCGTGAGAGCCTAAAACCTAAAACCCTAAACCCTAAAACCCTAAACACAACCCTAAACCCTGAAACCCTAAAGCCCTATACTAAACCCTAAAACCCTAAACACAACCCTAAACCCGAAAAGCCCTAAACCCTTCTATGGAGGTTTTAAGGGTTTCTCTAAGTGCCTCCACCGGGGTTTCGGGGTTATGGTCCAGGGTCTTCCGATTCTAGGGCTTACTTGGAGCTTCATGGGTAGTTATATGTGAGGTTATGGGATTCCTTTAAAGGGTTCTATAGGGTTTTTAGGGTTTAGGGGTAGTTATAAATGGGGTTATAGGGTTCCTTTAAAGGGTTCTATAGGGCTTTTAGGGTTTAGGGTTCATGGGTAGTTATAAGTGGGGTTCATAGGGTTCCTTTAAGGGTTCCTCTAAAGGGTTCTATAGGGCTTTCAGGGTTTAGGGTTCATGGGTAGTTATAAGTGGTGTTATAAGTAGGGTAACTATAGTTATAACCCATATTAGGAGACTTAAAACCATACTTACAACTACCCATGAACCTCCAAGTAGGGGGTTTAAGGGTTCGTTGAGGGGTAAGGGAGACACAAACACGTCGGTTGCATAACAACAAAATCCACATATAATATATCCGTTGGGCTTGAGGCACGTTGCCCATCAAGAGCCGAGGTACCGGAGACCGGATGTGGTTTGCTGACATGCTCTATGCCATGGAATCTCTCGTGCCTTACATTGGCTACTTCCAAGAAGACGGGCAAGACGTTGCTGTTTAGCTTCGGGTTAAGCGCTTGTACTTGGACTTGGGACCTGTCACATCGCTGTTGAATTCGCGTAGTCCCACACGGGAATCCAACAGCTGACCCCGCACTTCCCCAAAGCAAGCACGCAAGTGAGGCAACATCGACCGAGTGCAGGAAGACTGCGATGTGTTGACTCTCACCCTCGCGAAGTATGAGAAAGTCAACCTCAAGGAGTTCCGGTCTGTGATGTTTGCCAGCCTCAGATCCCTCCTGCCCACCACCTGGAGCTCGGAGCATGAAAACGCTTGGGCCTGGTTCTGGGGCATTGTGGAGAAGAAGGTCGAGGAGAACAAGCAGCTCCCCGTGCACAACCACCAGTGCCTCAGAACTTTCCTTGCCCGCATGGATGAGGAGACTCTTCCCTCGGCGAACCCCAGCTCCCAACCCCCTAAACCCCCAAAACAATTCTGAAATTCTGAACCCCGAACCTCTAAACCCTAAGCCCCTAAAACCTAAACTCCTAATCCCTAAACGTGGGTGAGGAGACCCTTGCTGACTTCAAGCTCAAGGTCTTTGATACCTTCTTCGCAACGACGGAGGAGACCCTGAGCCTACCCTGGACCCTAAGCCCTAATGTAGGGGCCGAAATAATTAGAATAGGGTTTGGTGGTTCCTTACTCGAATTATAGTATAATGGGCCCCTAAACCCTTTTCTAATTATTAAGGCCCCTATATTGCTTCCCGACGATTCAGGAGTCGCAGCTTTACCTGCGGGCGGCCAACAAGCGCCTGATGTACATCATGGGACGGCCGCTGGGTTCTAGCTTATAGTGCTTCATGGGGTTTGATGAGGCCTCATCAAGGATTTGCCATAGGGTTCTTGTGAAGAAACGCAAGTTAAGTTTCTTAGCTAACCAAACCCTAGACCGTGAAGAACCCAGGATTTTGACGATCATGTCCGACATCTACACGAAGACCCATCAAGCGGTTATTGCCCTGTCTGCTCTTGGCCTGCTCCATGCAGGACATGGGGTCCCCGAGGATTTGGTACGCCCATTCGTTCAAGCCTTCATGGGAGGAATCAAGCAGAACTGTCCGGATGAGTCTTTGCATGATGGGCTTTGGTGGACGCTGGACCTCATCGGCAGGATCTTCATCCGAACTTTGGCGGAGGGCTCAACACCTGTGATCATCGCCATCAACAGGAACACGTCCAAGGCCATGAAAACGGCTGTCGCGAACTATCCGCGCGGAGAGCGCGAGGTGATCTTGCTCAAGGTCCAAGTGGGCACTGAGTCCATGTCTCCCCTCATATGGGCCATTGAGAAGCTCAGTAGCAAAGTAGGTGACCCTAAATCTTGGCGTTCCGGTAGCCTTTTGGTTACCTCTTGGGTTTATATTATATAAAACCCTACCCTAACATAAGCTTTTTGAGGCCTGGGGCCCTGAAGAACTGAAGGAAGGGTGCCTTAGAGAGTGCCAAAGAAATCCTCAACGACCTGCTCACCATGCGCGCAGACCGTGCGCGGTACTACTATGGCATGGAAATGCTCTTCACCCGCCACTCGGACATCATCAGCCTGCTGTGCACCAAAGCGCCATCGTTGCTTCCCACCTTGTTCGATGGCCTCATCTGGCGTTCCAAGAATGCCACTTAGCTAGCCGATGGGAGCACTTTATAAACTTTTTGGCTTTGCACGTTCGGTCTATGATTCAATGTTTGAACTAACAGAAACCCCATGAAACCCCTAAACCCTTTTTTCTGGCTCCGGTTGGTGAAGAAGAGAGGTCAAGAATGGTATGCGTCGTGCGAACTACTACATCGCTTCCTTGCTCCTCAGCAGCCCAGCAATTTAGGGCGTTTTCTTTTAGGCACAAGGGTTTAGATTAGAGGTTCGGGGTTTAGGGGGTAGGGGGTTAGTGAGAATTGACACGTTCGTCGTTGTCAACAGCCCCTCCGGCACTGGACACTACAAACCATACAAAACCCATTTTCTCGAGTATGGGACCTAGGAAAATAGGTTCAAATCTTTTGTGAACTTGAGAGCATAGCCTACAAAAGGTCCACATGCAACCCGAAACCCTAGCCGAGAGTTTACGAGCTAAATAACCTGAAACCCCATACATCCCCAAAGACCTAAAGCCCCAAGCCGTCATATACGTCGAGCTTAAGTACACCCCCCAATAAATCCTGTCCAAGTTGTTCCTGAAGCTTTTTCACATGTCGACATAAGGACAGCATAAGATACGCCGTCCCCAAGGCCTGCCCTACTCAAATTATTCAGACCCTAAAACCCTAAACCCCAAAACCCAAACCCAAAACCCCAAAGCCTTCAAGCCCAAAGCCCTAAACCTTAAGCCCTAAACCCTAAACTCTCAAGCCCTACGATAGGCTGAGAGATGAAAATGGCCAGCTAACGGATTCTCTCCTTGACCTGATCAAGCAAGGAGCGGGTTTTGGGTTGAATGGGTTGAATGGGTTTGGGGTTTAGGGGTTTTGGGGGGGTTAGGAGTTTAGGGGCTTAGGGGTTTAGGGGGTTAGGGGTATAGGGTTTAGGGGTTTAGGTTTTGGGGTTTTAGGGGTTCAGGGTTTAGGGCTTTAGGGGTTCAGGGTTTCGGGTTTTCGGAAGTGTGCAGAGTCTGGCTTCAAAAACCGTGGGCTTTCGGAGCTTCGCGCGTCGTGCATTGCAGTCCCTTCTTTTAAAAATAGCAATTACCTGTAATCGAAAAGACCTACCTTTTTAAGGAACTATACATAGAAACCATAATAAGGAACCCTAAAAAGGTAGGTCTTTTCGGTTACAGGTAATTGTTATCGGGTGCAGGAGTGGGGTCCCTGGTTTGGGCTTTGCGCGGGCGTAATCGGGTTGGGTTTAATGGGTTTCACCTAACTTCGGGCTTCCCCGCGGGTCTAAGGGCCGATTAAGATGTTTAGGGTAAGGGTTTAGGTTTTGGGGTTAAGGTTTTGAGTTTAGGGTTTAAACGGGCTTAGGGATTAAGATAGTGAGCGGGTGTGCCCTGTCGGGTTCGGAGGTCAGGACTCGATTTTGTGGTTTGGGGCTTCAGATGAGGTTTACTCTTTAGGGTTTAGGGTCTACTGTAGACCGCTGCAGAACCCCTGAACCCTCAATCGGAATCCTAAATAAAGCCCAGGACCTCAACTCCGGACCTCTCCTCCTACCTATTTTTTGAATCCACGGACTCCCCCCCCCCACCCCTAACCCCGAAAGCCCTAAACCCGGAACCCCTAAACCCTTAACTAAAGACTTAGGGGTGTAGGGTTTCGGGTTCCCCGAACCCTATATGCCCTAAACCCAGCTTTAGCAAGCTCTGAAAGCCCCGGCCCAGGAGATACCCTAAACCCTAAACCCCTAAACCCCTAAAACCCTAAACCCCTAAACCCCTAAAGCCCTAAAACCCTAAAACCCTAAACCCCTAAAACCCCTAAGCCCCCGGCCCAGGAGATCCCGAGATCATTTGCCATCCCACCGTGGTCTTCCAAGCGGATCTGCTCTGGACTCGGCTCTGTTGCCTGCCCTGGGCCCTGACGAAGCTGCTTGATGCAACTAGGGGGGGTTACTTGAAACCCTAAACCCTAAACCCTACACACGGTTTAGGGTTTAGGGTTTAGGGTTTAGGGTATGTATGTGCAAAAGGAAAAGATGCACATGTCGGTATATGCACACCAAGTATCTTGGTATATCATGTAAGATGTATGCCTTGTAGGCAGGTATGTTATGTACGTCCGTATGTAATTACCCATGGGGTCGTAAAGCCCATATCTTTCCATGTGGGGCGCTGGGTCTTAGGTTGTCGTGATGGCTCCTAAGGTTCAGGGTTTAGGGTTTATGTTTAGGGTCTAAACATAAACCCTAAGCCCTAAACCCCATCTGCTCAACCCGAATCCAGCCGTGCCCAGGTGTTGGTTCTGCCTCACTCTCGTCCTTTATGTCATGGCGGAACAGTAGCTTGGAGACCCATGTTGGGCAGCCTTGCAATCGTGGTCCCTGAACCCCAAGACCCCTAGAGCTTGTAACCCTTAAGCCGCCATAGTCAAGCCCTGAACCTCCAAACAGCAAAAGTCCGAAACCAGTGTTTCCTAAACTCCTCCCCACAAGCTGAACCCACAACCCTAAACCCTAAATGTCCTACTCCTTTTAGGGCTTAAATCAACTGCACAAGGGGCTGCCAGGCTCATTTCTTGGCAGACCCACGCTGTAGGGTTATCTGGGATCCCGCTGTGTTGAGCTTGGCGTTCTTTAGGGTTTAGGCTGCAGGGGTTGGAGGTTTTACGTAGGTTTGTGGGTTCAGCATAAACCCTACGCACTAAACCCAACAGGGCACTCGAGTTTGCAGGGTCTTCGCGGCCCTGCGCATTCACCTTTGTCACGGTACTTCATCTGGCTCTCAGGTCTTTATCGGATGTTGTGCGAAGCTTGCTGTTTTACATCTTGGCCCAACCCCTTGCCCGAAGAGTGACACCTCTGAGTCCTACAATGCTTGTGCTCTGAACCTCCCAACCCCAACAAACACAACCACATCGCGGAGTGCACACGCCGCTGGCCCGAAAAACATGCTTAAGCCCTGCGCCCGACAGCACGCGACAAAGATCAGCAATGAACAAAGCAAACTGGGTATATCTCAGGCAAGCCATTGTTTCAAGTGATCCGTTGAGCACTGCACCTTGGTCTGAAGGGAAGTTTTATGTTTCATTTAATTGTCTGTAAACCCTAAACCTTAAACCCTAGACCTTAAAACCCTAATCCCTATAAGCCTTAAACCAAAAACCCTATAAACCTTGAAACTTAAACCCTAAACTGTCTGGCTTCACGGTCGTTAGATTTCAGGTCTTTAGCGCGTCGGAGCGGAGCGGAGTTTAGTCATGCTTTCGGGTTTGGGCTCTCAGGGTTACCTGGTATCGCAGCGGGGCCCTTTCAAACCCTAAGCTCCAAACTCTAAAAACCCCTTCAAACCCTAATCTCTAAGACCCCCTAAAGCCCTAAGCTCTAAAACCCTAAAGCCTAACTTCAAATCCTGAACAGAGAAAGGAAAAGCGGAACTGAAGCTGTTTTGCGAACACGAACGCGAGTTGCGGGGGTGTACACTCGAGGCACCAAATTCCAAACCCTATAGCTAAGCCCAAACTCTAAACCCTACACCCTACGTTTAGGGGCTGAGTAGGTAACCTTTAGCCTTTTGGGCTTTATATAATCCTACTATAATTGAAAATGTTTAAACCTTTTTTGGGCTAGGGGACTCAGCCCCTAAGTAAATATGAAGCCCTTATCAGACCCCTCCCAGGATCGATTCACGGTGATTGCTTGCCGGGCATTGCTTTACGTTTGCAGCCTGGGGCAGCTTTTCGCGAAGCATGCATTCCAGACATACAGAGCTGTTCGCCAGAAGGAGACTGACTGGTTCTTAGTAGGGAATGGAGGAATGGGTTATTGGGACTACTGTGGGGGGCCTTGGGTGACTGACCATAGGGGACCCCAGGGGACTATCATAGGGATCCATTCCCCCATTCCCTACTATAAGAACCAGAGAGGAGATGACGCGATATTGCTGCATGCCGGTGCCCAAGTATGTGCTGCGGACGCGGCAGGAGCTAATCGAGGTGCTTCTACTGCTCCTCCTGCTGTGCCTGCTATGCATTGAGCCAGCACTCCACTGTCTTGCCGTCAGTAGCGAGTTCCTCATCGACTGCTGCGAGTACGGAGAGTGGCAATGCAACCTCATGCACAGTTACAACCGCCTCGCTGCCTTCCCGATGGTGCTCTACTTTATACTTGCCTCTGAGTTGGTACACCTAAATGTCCACCTCTCCGTCTTCAGCGTGATTTGTTCGAGCCTCATGTGGGAGTTCCTCTTGTATGTGGCAGTCCTCATTTTCTTCACAGCGGCTTTTGCTTCGGCAGTTGCTTGCTTGCCGCAGTCCATGGGCTCGGATTCTGTTCAGATGAGGGACTTCTTCAGCTGGCCTATTGCCTTTGAGTCCTTGTTGTCCATGGCTTTCAACACCTATGGCAGTGACAACTACGAGCAGATTGCGCAGGAAGACGAACCGATGTTGAAATGGTTCGTCATGGGCTTCGCTGCTTGCTGGCACGTGTACCTGATGAATTTGATGGTGGCCCAGCTGTGCCAGCGCTACAACGAGATATTCCACGATGCACGCGGCAATGCCCGGCTCACACGCGGCATCAACATCTACGAGACGTCAATGCCACTGATTTCCAAGAAGCTCAGTTCGCACAATAGACAATCAGCTTCTGATACGTTTCCTTTCTGGGGTTCCGGCATTTTTGGTATTGCTGGTAGCCCTACACCCTAAACCCTAAACCCTAACTTAAACCTATGACAAGCGTTCTTGTGAGCAGGCTTACAATCCAAAATAATTCCAGGCCCTGAGACCCACAGTCCCTATCCGAACCTCCGAAAGCCCCAAGCCTCACACCGTCATACAGAAGTCGGAATCTTTACGCGTAGGGTGCCTGGTCACATGTCAAGAACCTTTAAGTAAAGATAAGCCCTAAACGCCTAGACCCTTCGAGCACTGAACCATGAACCCCTGGGTTAAAGCCCTACGCAAGTGCCATGCCCTCGGTGTCACGCCGACCAGCACATGTGGAACCTCGCCTGGCTTGCCCGAGTTGTGAGAGCGTAAACCCCTACATGAAGCCCGGAATCCCCAAACCCTACTAAACTAGACCCCGAAACCCTGCACCCTAAACCCAAACCCCACTAAACTAGACCCCGAAACCCTGCACCCTAAACCCAAACCCTACTAAACTAGACCCTGAAACCCTGCAACTATAGCTCCACAGACTTTCCTTCCTGTGTGGAAGGAAGCGGTGGACTGCCTTTGTCGAGTCCTTGCGTTTGGAGGCAGGCCCGTTGTTTTTTTAATGTTTATGTTGTAAACGTGGCTTTAGAGTCTAGGGTGCAGGGAGGGATTCTACTGGTTTTCATAGGGTGCTTAGAGATTTGTTATGATTTCTTCACAGGATTTGCACTCGTTCCTTCATAGTTCTTGTTTATAGGCCTTGCCACCGGAACCCTTGAAGGAGCCTCTTGAACCCTAAACCGCTTGAGCCCCGTAGTTGTCGGAATTCGTGCCTGCTTGTGCCAGCCTGCCAGTCGAAACCCAAAACTCAGATTCACCTACAAGAAGTCCGTGGCAAACGGAAACCCCAACCCTCATTCCTTAAGCCCTCAACAACCCCCTACACCTATAAGTCTGTGAATGAAACCCCCTGAACCCTAAACCCTAAGCCCGCGAATTCCTTAAGAGGACAACCTCTGTCTTGTAGGAGGCTTGCGAGCTGGACGAGGGCGACAACGGACCGCGCGGTGCGGTGCCCACCACAGAGGATCCCTACGAATCTGGCTTCCTTTAAGGGGTTCTATAAACCCTATAAATTCTATATCTGTGGTGTTGTGTTTCTGGAGTTTGTTGTTTTTTCTTGTATGTTTTTTGGTTTGCGAAGCCTGGGTTCGGGCGTAGAGCCCGGTTCTTAGGGCTTAGAAACCCGATTCTTCTTTGCGGGATCATGTTTCCTTTTTGGAACCGGTACAGCATCCTAGAACAACAGTTCTCCCTAACCCCCCAGGTACCTCCTATATAGGGTACTAGAGTCCCCCCTATATAGTAGGTAACTGGAGGGTTAGGGTCTATTGATTGAAATGTTGGCCTTAATCCCGTAAACCCTAACCCCAAACACTTTGCTCCTTGGTCCTTCCGGAGCCGAGGACTACTTGCAATACCCCAAAGTAACGCTGGACCGTGTTCAGCGACACTTGGTCAATACTATGACCTCGGGGGTTTTGCGCTTTACCCATAGGCCCCTAAGTAGTTCCTTTTTGTCGTTTGTATAAAAACCCTATAAGGCAATCCCAAAAAGGAACTACTTAGGGGCCTCTGGGTAAGCTCTAGGGCCGGTTGCATAGGCGCAGGCCGGCACCTCAGTCCGTGCTGCAAAAAGGGGCAGTTGTCCTTTTTCTGGGCTCTAGGATACCGAACCCGGAGAGCCCAATACCTCTTAATTAAGGAATATACCTTAAATCATAATATTAAGGCCCTTCTAATTTAAGGTATATTCCTTATTTAAGGGGTATTGGGCTCTCTGGGAAAATCCTTCATTCCGAACAATGACCCAGGATATGGAGGACTTGCAAATCCCGAGCTGCCCTGGCCGTCGCTCGAGGAGGCCAACGATGACAGTGCGGTCGGCAAGTTGACGCGGATGACGCAAGCCAAGTTTGAGGAAATGGACCGGCTGATGCTGGGCTCTTCTTCAGGAGTTTAACTCCGTTAAACTTTTGGGCCTTATTTTTATCCTACAATAATTGAAAAGGTTAACCTTTTTTGGGCTAGGGTACTCAGCCCCTAAGCCTAAGCCACCATATTGTGAGATCCGAATATGGCAGTTGAACCGTCGAACCAAGCCTGTAAACGGAACAGCTGTCTCTATTGGAGCCCGCGAGCTCCTTAGCTGTTCTAGCTCTTTAAAGCCACAACGTGGTGCCAAGGATGGTGCACTTGGCCATAAACCCTAAACCTTCCCCAAAATGGTGCCAACGATGGTGGGCATGGCACATAAACCCTAAACCTTCAACCCAAAATGGTGCCAAGGATGGTGGACATGGTTATAAACCCTAAACCTTCAACCCAAGATGGTGCCTAGGATGGTGCACATGGCCATAAGCCCTAAACCTTGAACCCAAAATTGGTGCCAAGGATGGTGGATATGGCCATCAAGCTTCAGGTGCGCCCTCCAGGCACCGCCGGTGGCACCAACACCTTCGCAGCAAGCCATGCCTCCCAACAGTCGCAGCCTTGGAGTTCAGTGAGGGTGTACAGAATTAGAGGCTGTCCGTGGCAGCGAGAGTTAGAGTTTCGGGGTTGATATTTATGGCTTTTTCACCTCGGAAAGAGCACCTGAGGTCACAGCAACGTGATGAAAGCAAGCAGGTGGGGGCTGTAGAAGTCAATATACCTATACATATGTATATATATATACATATATTATAGATCTGTGTCAGTATATATATATATAGACAGATAGATATACATATATATATATATTATAGATCTGTG